TTTTTTTCCAGCGTTACTCCGTGAATTTGATATTTACGTTATGACTTAATAATTCTGATAGAGGTCAGTTGTAATCTCTAAACCTCGGGGTTTGTTGTAATTTATTTTAGCCCCCAAACGAATTATATTACAGACCAAGTCAGGATTCCCCGGCTAAATTTTACATTAAAAGTTCACGTTGCGGTGGACTGAAAATGTTGGGAGCAGGCAATTATTCAGGGTGAGATGACGAAAGGATTTTTCATTCTTTGTAAGCGATCAACTTTAATTTTACACGCGAAACCTACAATAGTGGAAGTTCCGTTACTGCTCGATAATCATGGCTCACATGTGCAGTTGTTCTCAGTGTTTGCAGTGAAGAGCATGAAGCCAGTCTAAGGCAAAAGGCTCAAACACATAGCTCAAAGTACATGTTATAGTTTTCCGCCCATTGCTCCCAAATTGTCAACCTATGTAGGTAGCAGTCTTCTAAGGCCCTTTTAAAAACTACGTTAACAGAGCAATTAGATGCATGGATGTATATAATTCATGAAAAACATGACAATTTAACACCCTGTTTTAAGTGAAATAGTCACTTTTCATTTGATCGTTAAACTATCCGCACCTTTATGTTGATATTTTCCAAAACAGTTTATACAGATGTTTCAGATAAAAGCGCTCTCGTAGTTACTGTTCCAGAGCCTGAATAATCGGAGAATGTTCTAGATTGGCAGTGAGAATTCTTCGTTGAGTCATTCTACAGTCTCAGAATACGTAACATCCTGGTCTTCTTATCGATATCAGACAACAAAATTGTGGCACGATTGCCACTGCTAACTAAATAACTCAAGTTGGCTTTTCAAAGACATTTTTCAGCCATGAAGAGTTAGACCATCACCTAAATCGAAAACCACCACCTCTATTACATCTTTAAATTGCAGCTCGCACTAGTCACAGATCTTCATAACTATACTTCTTTGAAAAGCGGTATTTTGTTTTGAATATCAAGCCAAATCAAGAAAGTGCAATAACGAGATTAAGCAACGGTTTGGAATGTTTTGACAAATCTCCTTGGAAGAGCAAGGCAAATCTAAGAGATCAATCGTAAATGTGAAATTAAACATTGATATCAATATTGTCTAAATCTTCCATTGGTGATCTATAACACTTCTATTTTCAAAAAACACAAGGAATACCTACCTGTAGACTTGAAATCTTTCGATTCGACTTGATACTAAATAGTTAAAAATGCTGTCAAAGGTTAAATCAGAGTAAATAACCCAATATTCTTCATGATATTCTATTACTTCGTTAAAATTGTTAGAGCCTCCGGCGTTGTCTACTTTGTTTTGTATTCGTAAAAACCAGACAGTTATAACATGCCGTATACATCAAACAAATGTTCCAATTGAGGATTATGTAAATGTTTATTAAACAGAATTTTTTATCCATAAATACAAAACTTCATATAGCACAGCTACACAGCTAATTTGTAAGTAGGTGTGGCTTCGTTTGCAAGAAAACAACAAGTTTATTTGACACAATTTTACAAACACTTCTTGATAATTTATGATTATAAACTGTCCCATGTTCGCGATTATATATTTACTTCTATATTATTGGAGATTTAATCCGGTGAGCTGTTTTTAGTACATTCGTTTAAATAAAAAATAAATCAGTGGCGTTACAACCTCTTTAGGTTTGGGCCTCAGATTTCTGTATCATATAATGTGGTAAATCACAGAACAGATTTTTATTTTTTTTTACTTATGTAACTTTAATGACGTTGTGGTTTATGACATTTTCCTTTGAATAATTGTAATGTAGAGGGAGAGTAAAACTTGCTGTTTCTTGCCTGTTCTTCTCAGAACAAGGCCTCCTGGTAGTTTTGCGAACGGATGGCGTAGTCTTGCTCTTTCGCGAATTTTGTAAACGTTTTTGACATTCATAAGCGCATCTAAATTGAATAAACGTATTTTGATTTTGTTTCATGATCATTTTTTAATCTAATAGGCAAGTAGGTGATCAGCCTCCTGTGCTTGACACACGCCGTCGACTTTTTGGCTCTACGACGTATAGGTTTCCTCACTGCGTTCCTTCACCGTTCGAGCGAATGTTAAATGCGCACATAGAAAGTCCATTGGTGCACAGCCGGGTATCGAACCTAGGACCTCAGGGATGAGAGTCGCACACTGAAGCCACTAGGCCAACACTGCACTGCCATCATTCGTTTAAACCCAAGACAATAATATTTATGCCAGTCGTAATTTGACTATAATGAATATTATTTATCTTTAGAAAGAATATACACAGTGAATTAACACTTACTGCTTTCGCCTCTAAATTAATTTAAACCGCATAGTTTAATTAGCACAAAGGCACAGGGCAAATCTTTTTAAACAATCAGTGTTCACCAATTAGTGTGTGGCAAAGAGTGAAGAAAACGTTGTTAGTTTATTCCATATCTACAGTCGTTGTGTTACAGTTCAACCGAAGTGGTTACTTTGCAAATAGTGTTCTTGTCTTTTAAAAGACCCAGAAACTATAAATGTAAAAAAACCTTTCGAAACTTCCTATATTAAAATTGTTTCTGTGGAGGGTAATATAAAGTATATCTTCCATTAAATCTCCATTGTACAAGCATTACTTTTCTACATCGTATACCTAACATAATTAAGAAATCATGATGTAATTGTGTGTTCAGTTCGTTATATCTATTTTATTATAATTCGTATTGATTTGCCTAATTAATACTTTGAAGTGTTCAATAAATAATAAAGTTTGATATCCTAACAAAGAGTTGTAGCCTGGGTCAGGCTGGTGAGTTAATGGTATTCCAATGCATAATCTTATATATACATAAATTATATTCCTTTTCCAACTTGTATGAAAAGCAGTCATTTAAAATTTAAACGCTTACTGGTTTTACCCGCAACATCGAGATGTCGTCGCCTGCGCATATGTCAGATCGTTAGTCGATGTTCAACAAACTGTAAAGGTTAAGGGTTGTACGGTAATGAGATAAACTTTCCAAGCATCTATGTCTAATTATACATTTGGCACCTTATAGCCACCTTGTGGCACCAGACTATGGAACAGTTATACACAATATATATATACTTGTTAAAAAATCTCTTATCTGATAGACTTATTTAATTAATCATTTTAATGTAATTAGAGGAAAATAATCGTGTTAAGCAATATTGAAATTATTTTACAAATTTCATGACACCCATAGGCTTGCCCAAGTCTTAAAGTTATCTGAAATAATTAAATATATTATGATTTCTAATAGTTTGTTAATCTTTTGGTCAACAAACTATTTGAAAGTTTAATGTTCAGAGGTTTAGGAATAGAAACTTAGCAGAAGACAAGTAAGTCTATCTCAGTAGGAGTGGTAGGACAAAACTGCTACTAACAAGAAGCCTAAAACAGATTTATTTGTATATTTACGTCTTACGAAACAAAAAATACAAAAGTAATTCCATTCGCGCACGATGCTCAAGGCAGGAACTCAGCACTTAAGTCTAAATTGCTAGACTTGTCTAGATAGTACCTCAATAGTTGTATCTCGCCGCCTGAATGCGGCTAATGGACGCTTTTATTTTTTTTGTTGGATTTATTAAAATAACTCATGTTTTGCTACGGACGAATGCAGGTGATTAAACTACGACTATATTATATTAATACATGTTGTGCACACATAACTTTAGTTTAATTTGTTGATATTTTCAAAATTACATTTAGAGACAAAAATACACACCACTTCCAGAAAAATGTCAAATCACGCAACGGAACAACTTCAAAATACGCGAATATGATCGCGTTTAATGACGTCGGTTAAAAAAGTTTCATCTAAAAATTAATTTAGAAAATAAATAGAAGTCTTTTTTTAATCAGTATCATACGCCTCTACCCACTATCTTTTTCCTATGTATATTTATAAATTTTCTACATAATAAGTTCGGTGCGTGTAGGGAGTCGTAAATAATAAAAGCAGGGCGTGCGTTAGTATTCACGATGCAAATTAAGATTCTGTTCAGACAACTCGATACATTTTATTTTCCAAGGATTCACATTACTTTTTAATCACGCTGCAGGTGTCGACTGCTTTATGTGTCCGGCATGGAGTGTGAAAAAATAAATTATAGTGAGCGTTAATCATATACATTTACTCTAAATAAAAGCAAAAGCAGTATTAGATATTTATAACATGAAGATAAACTAAATTTAAATCGTACTACTTATCTTCATACGAAGATTCTTTGTAAGGACAAATCCAAATAAAATTAAGGGTGAACTCGACATTTATTGCTTAGCTAATACACAATATAATATAGTAATTTAAATACCTGCCATCTATTGGAGAATTTGAATATTGGCTTATACTGTAATTTTTGTCGCCTGTCGCAGTCATTGTCATACTTCATTTGTTAGTTGTCATATTACATACGTCTAGGACTAAAATTTAATTTTCCATTCACAAGTTTCAATTTTGAACAAATGTTCAAACTTCAAATGATCACTGATAAGTACTGAGTAACAAAATACGAATGTTTTTTTAATTGTCTGTACGTTGTTAGTACGAAGACGAGAATTTCGTTTTACGTTTCTAGATTATTTGGTATTGTGAAACCGGTTCTTCAAGTTATAAATAATGTAAGTATTACGAAATAATTGTAACATATTATGAATCTATCCAATTGGAAAGTGAATCATCAATCGTCGTTAGCAAAATAGTAATCTTTTGCGACGTGAAGGTAGAGTATGAGATTTTTGTTTCCACTTATATCCATTGCAAATTATTTTGAAAAGTATGCAGACTTTACAGTCTGGATAACAACTATCCACATCTTTTTACTTGTCTTATTCTTTAAGCACAGTCCTATTAATTTTGTATAAATATTTTATTAACTATTGAATGGAAAGTTATAAGCGCTAACATTAAAATACTTATTTACAAGTACTCTTGTATTTATGTTTTAAGTCCATATAATTGCTTTGTTTATTTTCAGTAAAAGATGTCAGAACGAGAACCGATGAGTCAAAGTGGCTCCAGTCGTGACTATGGGGCTACTGCAGCACCTCCTGCAGTAGGCTTTGCAGACTTTAGCCCCACCGAGTTGTATAACCTCAGTGAAGGGATTGCTGACAATGTTAATACTATAAATAGTGGTCTCCGCACTTTAGAAAAAATGATGAAACAGATTGGCGGACCTAGCGATAGTATACAGCTAAGGGACAAAATGTAAGTGATCCTTAAGTAAATATAAATATTGGAAAACATGATATGCTTTCATGCTTTAATTAATTATACAGGTTTGTTTAAGATTCAGTTATGTTAATAACTGGGGATCCAAACTTTGAATATACTAATGTTATACATACTAACATAGACTAAGATTACTACATATTACTAACATATAAAATATTCTTACTTCTTTTTTGTACCTTAATGAGTTTGGAATAAATAAAGCTATAATAATAATAATATGTTAATAACAACAGTCTTATCTATTCCTTTTAATAAATTTCTGGAAGTTAAATATTTTAATTATTTACTCTTTTGGTTGGCAATTTAACAAAATAAAACAATACATCCTTGAAAGTTTAATTGATATTATATTCTGTAAATATGAGAAAAATACTTACTTAAGCTGGTAAATAGGTGCTACAGCAGATCATTATAGTAAAGTTTGAATATCAGGAATTTTATTATAGTTCAATGAATATTAATTAATATTTACAATAGATCTAAAAATTAGTTCGAGAAATAAATTAAGACAAGTGTGTCAGTTAGTGATCTAGGTTAAAGTTGTTAGCCATAATGTTATTTTCTAATATTGTAAGTCTTCTCAATGAAAGTAACACTTATCAAATAGGTCAAACCTGTAATTAGTAGATAATCCTAGCTTAAACTTAAAGTCTAGTTAAAAAAATAATAAAAATCGCAAAGGAACTGTAAGTGTAATAGATGATATATTCTTTACTGTACTCTGTTAAATCATCATAACCTTTTGTGTGTTGCTTAGAAATAATAAAGTGACAAAAGATCCTATTGAATTTCCTCACTAGATAACGCTAGTAGGTTTATACCAAGCGCTATTATTGCTTGTTAATCCAAACATGTTTTTACTAATCATTACACAGCCTTGTTCTTAGTATTTTTTCACGGACAACTACCATCATAGTTACAAAACATTAAATTTATATTTAATCCTCAAGTACTTCTTACTCTTAGTTAGCTACGCAGAAGATGCAGTATGGACTATTATTGGCATAATTAATAAGTGAAGACAGTATGAATTGAAAAATCTCTTACCAACAATTAAAGATTATTTTTGTTTACTTCAGCTTTGGTGTTCCCGGCCCTAATGTAATTTTCAATATGCCTATGGCTATGCGCACTATGTTTATGTAATACGAGTTAGATGGGTAGTTTAGTGATTCAAGAGAATATATTTCCAAATACATTCCTATCATTCTAGCCATGACACGCAACAGAAAGTGAATAGCTCAGTATCGGCAACTGCTCGCGACATCCAGCGGTTAGGCGTAGTTGTCCGACGTGGCGATAAACCGCAAAAATTGCAGGTCGAGAGACTTACGCAAGCCTTCAGCGATGCTCTGGCTAACTATTCTTCCGTTCAGAAGGTAAATAGATTAAAGTACTAAGATTCTTAGGTGAAATTATTAAAATTATGACATTGGTTACTGTCACTCATAAAAACTGCATTAAAATCTGCTAAGCCTCATTCGTGTACCTCGCAACTCTAAGCAATTGGTACGAGAATTAAATTCAGGCACAAATTTAAAGCCATTAAACTATTGGTCGATTTAACATCATATTTCGAAAATTTTAGAAAGTAACCGAAAAGATGGCGGCCCATATGCCGACTCAGCCTCGCAATAAGAATGACCCCGAAGCACTGGAGAGGCAGGCTATCGCTGACGACGAAGAGGCCAGTCTAGTTTCTAATCAACAAGCACAGGTAATTATTGAAGCCTATCAAGAGTCCACATTAAATTGTAGCACCTACTACTTTATAATTTAATTACAGCAATCTCCTGATTTCTTTAAACTTCTTTTTAGTAGAAGGTCCCGAAACAGTGATTTGTTTCGAATCAGAAAATAAAAGGACTAATCTTCAGTAATCTCTAACCTACTACAGTCCAATATTATATTGAATTTAGAACCCCTTAAGACTTAATATTCTTTTGTAATTTTTTTCTCATTCTGTAAAGACGAATAGAATACTTAATAAAAGCTGGTGTCATTTAATTTTAAACACGAGTCAGGAATACAACAGGTTTGGGGAGCGGTATCATGAATCATCACTCACCTACATTACATTAAAAAAAATTGCAATAAATTTATTTGTATGTGAATTCTGTTAACTGACAATCTTTACCACCTGTTATTGAATTTGAATACTGATTATTAACAATATTTTACTGTTTGTTGTTGTAAAATATAATAAATTAGTAGTAATTTCTAAATTCTTTCTAGAATTCTCAATTATTATTTTATGTATTAGTCTGTTTATTTTATTAGGCTTCTTCATATATGTGAAGTTGGCCTTACAAAAAGTTTTTACAACGGTAAGTGAAACCGTCGCCCATGGACACACTTTGAAAAATACTAGAGCGTATTTAACTCAATATAAAATAACAACGATAGCGCGTTTTATAAGACCATCAGCGCCATCTAGTGGCGCATTATTTGAACTGATTTAGGTCAGTTTAGGTTGTGTTTATGTAGGATAGCATTCACTCGCTTTATTTGATACTGGTTTTTGTAAATATGTAATTATTAGTATATTTTTATTTGAAATGAAAATCCATACTAGTAACGTGTGACCAGATTAAAATTCCACACTAAAGAGGGAATGTTCCATCCTAGCTTGCTTTTCTTTTGTTATACGTACGGCCAGTTCTTTCGCTTAGTTTATTATTTTACCGTTTTGGAAGAAGTAAATTAATACCAAATTAATTATCCTAAAAATCTGGTCTATTTAATATAAAAATAACAAAGTTATATAAGAAAATATCATTGCGTAACTAGTATTTAAGTTTTAACTCCAATAAAAATTATTCTAATTTAACTTAGCTTTTAAATATTTTTGTTTAATTTGTAAATTGATTTGATTGATTTTATTTATTTTTAGGCGCGTCTAGTTCAATTTGAGACGAGCATGCTGCTAGAGAAAGAGGCCTATATGAATAAAATTGAGGCTGATGTGTTAGATGTGAATCAAATAATGCAGGACCTTGCTGTGATGGTCAATGCCCAGGCACAATCTATCGGTTAGTAGTACAGGAAATTATTTTTCTTAGTTTGGTTTTATAATTTTTTTACTATATTAGTATTTATAATTGTTCAGTAGTAAAGGGTATGGAAAATTATCAGTGAAAAAGACAATAAAAGGTTTGTCCCTATTTTTTATCCCACGTAAAAAAATATTTGTGTGTTAATCTATTCTTAAGAATTTTTCTTGCATGTACGGTTGGTTTTGTAGAAGTTGCGTCTCATAAAATAAAAAAGAAAATATGTTTATTATGGAACATAAGATACATGTATCACTTATTCCACGTCATTAAATTTGAATTTGTAGGCATTACTACTCATGGGCAAAGGAGACAGAGGGTGTAGGCCGAGACAAAAAGCCGGCGTAAAAAACTCTCGGTACTCTTTTTTCGAGTAATTCTGACCGATATTAATTTTTGACTAATCTTGTGTCCAGATACAGTAGAAAGCCATATAGAGGCAGCCGGTGTCTCTGTGGAGGCTGGAGTTGATGAATTGGCGAAAGCTGCGGAATATCAAAGAAGGTACCGGAGGAGAATGTTCTTTTTCATCACGATTGCTATTATATTAGCCATCCTTCTTATTGTGTGGGTTGTTAAGGCTTTTAGATAGATTTTTTGTATATCCGATATAACTTGCGTATAAAAAATTCAGTTATAACAACTAATTGTGCTTATTCTTATCAATTTAAGTATATAGTTTTTATAAAGTTTCTTATAAAAAAATAATTTAGCATTGTACTCCATTTTACAACATATAAAGTGAATCCCTGTGTAAATTATTGCGATAAAAATGTATATGGTAAATTTTAATGTAGTGAGAATTAGCACCATTAGAAAATTCGCCTTAAATTTGGATTGATGGAGGCGAGCTCTATATCAAGTTTTATTGGAACTTTAATACACTGTTAACACGTATAAACAATGAAGGTATTCACATTTTTTCCTTTCGTAATTGTTATTTGTAGGTTATTTCCCGTCCTTAGTGCAGTGAATAACTGACTTCCAAACTTACATGTTGATATATTTAAATCTCATGGAGTGGATCCTTCGAAAGGATCCATTTTCAATAACCTAAAAAAAATTAAAACGTCAGGGCTCGTGCCCTTAAGACGAAAGAAGAGAGAAAACCTTGGGCATGAGGGCTCAGGGTAGTGAAAAATATTATTTATATCCTCTAAATTATGAATTTAGACGTGCCTATAACAAGGCCAGTCATCTCTGGTCCTTGCCCCACTATTCTGTATATAGTGGTTGTAGATCTTGCTTTAAGCCCAAAGTAAACTGGTTGGTCCTTAACAGTTCTTAATAGGATTAAAGGACTGCTCTGGTATTCTGTAAATTAAAATGGCGAATGCGATTCCGACTTCAATGCTGATTCTTTGTATTTCATTGTATCGCAAGGTGGCGATATGAAAACTACATTGATATTGCATACAAAACGGGATCGGTATCGCTATTAGAAATTACAGAGTACCGGCGCTGCTTTAAAAATGTTATTTGTTTTAAATTTTAATGCATAATTAAACAATTTTAAATGTATAATAACTCAAAAACGAGGTGTTACGTATACCGACAAATTAAGGAAATTCTAAATTGACTGCAAATCTCCAAAAAATATGTAATTTACGAATTTAATTATTAATATATAAATGCCAACGTTGATTTTTAATTATTAAAAATACGAAAGAATTTTTTTTCACAATTAAATTAATATGTATCACCCTAAATGTAAAAAAATATATAGGTATAGTGTATTTATGACACTTTGAGGTTAATATTTATGGTTTTAAATGGCACACGTTTTTATATTTAGCTGGTTTGTGCAATATTTGTACCTTCGACTGTAATATAGGTAAATAAAAACGCAGCTGGTTATGATAATACAATGCAATTACATAAATGCAAACATTCCCGAGAATACTCTATTATATAATTGTAAGTGATTGTACCTATGTTATGTGTTTTTATATCTATTCTAAATTGTCTATATATCAACAATTACGAGTATACTTTAATAGGTTAAAATATTTTTTGTGGTTATTTTAATTTAAAAAGTTTATTACTTAATTTCCTTTATAGCATGATATAAAGAGTTAAAAATTTGCCCAAATGAAATAACTTTTAATTATTAATATAATTTATTACATTCTAATGAATTTATATTGAAGAGCACTCCTAATGTATATAACCATATATTACGAGAGATAGCGTTGTTTCCTAGTAAAGTTCAACTGCAAACATGGTCTATTAAACATTTCTTTAATTTTTAAATGTGATTTGTAAGTAAAGTACATACATTTTCTAAGAGATATGCAACGCTGACCTCCGTAATGATACTAGATTTTGTACGCCGGCACTATTAGGAATAATAGTCGTGTATATTATATGCTACGATAAGTATTCATGCAACGATTTCTATATTTTAATATAATACATGTATCACAGTATTTCTTATTTAATTGCTACATTTCTGTATTTAACGGGCGAATAATATTTTTAACAAATGAGTTCGCCGTTAAATAGGTAAAGGAATGGCATGTCACGTGACCCCATTATATTGTTAAACAATAAAACGTTGTTTTATTTTACTCCCTTTTTTTGACTTTCTTCTAAATTGGAGCAATTTTGCAAGGTTTGAGTGAACTAATGTTATTTTCGGCGTTTTTACTTTTTTGTATTCTTATTATATGTATGTTATTTACGTTTGACCTTGGCGTATTAGTGGTTTCGTTTGGACAACACCACTAATACGCCAAGGTACAAAACGGGAACCGACAATGGGACATGTAAGAATAATTAACTAAGTACAGTGTTAACTACATATTATGGATAGCGATGCTGAATTGTATGGAATACGTAGCATAACAACCAGATTTCATCGTTTTAGGGAATTTGATTGGCACATTGCTTTCTTAACACGTAAGTTGAAGCTAGACTTCGCGTAAGAAAAAGATTGTAGCTGCAGCCAGACTTTCCTATAATGCTGATATAATAAAATTAGAACAGCCGATACTACCAAACCGGCCGCTGACTTATGCAATCTCTCTTTTATTCGGCTTTAATTTACTATCTGTTGTGATGATGAACATGACAATTAATTTTCATCTCGCCGAGCATACTCCACCCGTAATTCCAATTGACTGATAAAAAGGGACAGAAAAAACTTCTTTATTCTGTACAAAAAATTTATTTATACATCATACATCCAGTCTCACTAAAACTAATTTTAGAGAATATGTTACAATAAAGTCATCACTTTAGGTTTCTGTATCCTATGTAGGTTTTAATATTATAAATGCATTGCACGCCATCTATGATTGAGTTACGGAAACATATAAAGTTGAATTTAATATTTCTCAACGGTTTTAAGGGTTCTATAAACAGCCGTAATCTATAAGTGTAGATTACGATTCTCCAGTATATTAAAACCCAATGAGTTTTTAACACACAGGAGTCGTACTTAACAGTAAGTCTCGACTTTGAACGCTCACTTATATAGTAAGCAACATAAACTATAAATTCTTGAAAATAAATATTTATACACGATCAGTTAGGTAGTGTTTAAGGCTTTTGAGCCGTTGTTGAGCAACTGTTATATAACTATTCACATACATTTTGTTACATATTAGGTATTTCAAAACATTGGTACAATTACAGTTTAAGAAAGATATCTCTTTAGGTGTACGGGCTTATTTATTACGCACTGTTAGTATAACGAAATTGGGATTTTTAGAACAGATAGAACTGACATGTAAATATCCTTAAAATTTTGCTTATATTTATAAAACCAATAAAATGCTTTTAAAAGATGTTAAACTAAATTTAGTATAGCCAATGGTAACAATTAATTTTGACTTCTGCTTACATCTAGGAGTTATTGTCGAATTATTTACAAATTCAATGTTTTACAAATATTAAAATATTCGAACAAAGTACCTATAAGTATGGAGTGTGAATAAATTCTTGACTTTGACGTAGGAACACAAACTTTTTAAAAGTAGTAAAATAAATATGTACTAAGAGGTATATTAAATAGAATTCGCCATGTCAAGCGTTATGTCAATTTTCAGATCAGCTGACATTGTTAACTTATATGTCAAATCAGTTCGTGATACTGAAATGTTGATAAGACTAAAAAAACAATTTTGGATTATAACAACACCGATTAAAAGAAAGACCGTTAGATTCTTCGTCTAAACTCACACAATAAAGGAAAAAAGAAAAGGAAAGATTTGTACTTTTGTAACGAATGAACTCAAACTCATTAATTACAAAAAATGTTTCATAATTAGAAAGAAATTGGCCATCCGTGAGAAACCGGAACTAACCGCTAGTATTTAATAGATATTTCAGAAAGATAAGGTTACTTGCATTATTTGTTTGCAAGTTTTAACTGACACTGGAAAGAATTCGCGTTTTTAACACAATTTTGACATAAGTATTGACATTTCATTAGTTAATTTTTATTTTTCTTTACTTTTCAAAAACATGGCGGAAAGAATTCGCGTTTTTAACACAATTTTGACATAAGTATTGACATTTCATTAGTTAATTTTTATTTTCTTTACTTTTCAAAAACATGGCATAAGTAATTTTAAATGCACGTATGCTATGTTTAAAAAGCTGCAAATTTATTTCGAAACAAAATTTTTCATAGAGAAACTCTTTATTGAATCAGCATTTTTTTTGTATACAATAGCGACCACCCTGTATTAGAATTTAATTTTGTGCATGTACTATCTATGTTTCGCTTGTCTTTGTTGCCAAAGGGCGTATTTGGAACAGGCCGCGTCTATCATTTGGTTTATATGTCGCGTTAAAGATGTCGCTAGTGGTGTAAGGTCACGGAGCATTTTTTCCTGCAAATAAAAATATAATTAAAAAGAACATATATTTACTATTATTATAAAAAATATAGAACTATAGCTTCAAATGAGTGCTGTTTCTATTTAGCAAACTAACGAATCGGTAATACACTAGAATGACAGGTATGAGACTCGCACGTTCAAGCCAATAGGTCAACTCCTTGTCAACAACTAACTTTAATAATAACCCCTTAACTTACATACAACACAGTGTGCAAATGCTAATAAACTTATTTTCAATATTCTGTTTCAAGCAATGGGGACAGTTTTTTCTTTACTAACCTCAAACGGCCGCAATTTGACGTTTCTAAATCGTAGTAGCGCTTCATAGAATTTTTCTGCCTTCGCCGCATTATCCTCTGTATCTGCGCCGCCGCCGGGTTGAGGAAAACATCGCCAGAGTTCCCGGAGTAACTCCCCGCCCGAGTAGTATATACGGTGTAATTCTAATTTTATGTCCGATGGTATTAACTCTGAAATGGAACAATTTGAAGTTTTATGATTTACTTTTCAGGCTAATGTTTCTATTTAGATTTTAAATTGTAACCTATAAAAACGTGATTGAAAATATATTTTAAAATATGAAATCTGAAGAACAAAACAGTTATAGACACATGAATAATGATAATTTCTAAATTGTGTTACAGGTTCGTTTAAAGGTAATGTTCGTACAGTAGACATTTAAAGGAACATAGAGAAGGTGCTAAGCGGATTACAAAAAGACTAATTGAAGAGTCGCTGGTTAAGTATTAATTTAAAAATTTAAAATCACACACAAAATGAATTTATCATACACACATATTGCAAATCGGTATACACATTTTAAAGCGAAACAATAATTTATTTACCAAATTAACCCAAAAACGGATATAGAAATTTAAACAATACTAACGAGCCATAGATGCAGCGTGGTGTTGCCTCATAAGGGCGCCGCCGGGGCTGAGTTCTCCCAAAGCCCCTACTGCCGCCGCAGCACTTACACGAAATGGACGCAGGCATTGCTGGCCGTTTGACCACGCCTTGTATTAAATAGAATAGTTGATAAAGTGATTGTTATAGTATTAACGTAGGTTATTAAAATATTTTTCAGCAGACCAAAATATCTCCCCATTGTAATCTACGAAGACTATCTATGAAGGTCTAAGGGTAGGTAAGAAACTAAGTTTAGCGGTAATTATGTCTCTCGTACGTCAAAAACTAATTGACATACGAGCATCATAGTTCAGGAAGTGTTCAAGTAACGTAAAAAGTAAGTTTTTATAAAACGTTACGGGATTAAATTACGCGTTATTTTTAATGTTAACAAACTTTAATCTAGTTAACAGCTGTCAAACCATATTTTTTTTGTATGAAGTTTGACATATACGATAAAGCTCAAGACGACATCGTGACTTGACATACAAATGAGAATATGCACCTATATTCTTGAGTTCCTTTTAAGATGGGGAAGTCCATGTTATGTGCCAATAGACACGCAATAAAAAGAATTCGGAAATTTGACAATATTAATAACGAAACAGTTCATTTGATTGATCTTTTTTCTAGTCCAATAGACCGCCAAATAATCCGACGTTCCGTTTTACGTTTTTTAGAACTCTAAAAGCTAGATATCAATATTTTATTATACATATTTAATAAATATATTACCTGACATATAGACGACAACGCTGACAGTGGCGGTGGGTTATTACTACTTGATGTAGATTGTGTTACTTGTGAAGATGGACCTAATAAATACCGTTCTACCTATAAAAAAATAATAAAACGTGAAAAAAAATCTGTGTGAGATGAGACTGTATAAGATGTATCAAAGTTTTCTATATATTATTTACATTAATTTATCAAGTTTCGACATTATTGTTAACACATCAACTCTAACGATAGTTGTGTATGGTAATATGTATATACAAATATATAAGATATCATTATAATACTTAGTTTTCAGATAACATATATCTTTTGAAAAAAATTAAGGCAAAAAGTCTAGTGCCTAAGAAGCGTCATTGTTTTTGGGTCTAAGACCCATATTACAGTAATTCCAAAAGCTGTCTAACCATTTTTCTTATATGAAGATGGACATATTTGACAATTCTCAATACGAGATTGTAACTAAAGTGATATGAAATGAGCCTACATCGGTCTATGAGAATAAAATATTTTTGGGCAAAGACCTGACTGTAATCGAATAAGTATGATATATTTAGATAGAATGTACCTTAGACAATTTCAACTCCGGCGCACGATTACTATCATCCTCATCGTCCAAGTCTTCATATTTAATTTTTTCTAACATCCTCCTTTTTTTGTCTACGGGTTCACTCTCATCCGTTGATCGCTTGTCTATGCCATTTGCCTCTTTAACGCCGTTTTCAACTTTGTTATTATTTGTTGATTTATTGTTACTACTGCTTGAACTTTTGTGACTAGCTTTAAGCACCTGTCAAAATAAATTAATAGAATTAAAAAAACGCAAAAATCAACCTTTTACGATATGTAAACACACACAGAAATCTAAAAAATTTGAAGTAGTACATGTCACAAATATCTTCAAGCATTAAAAAAAACAAATTTGGCACAACATTAAAAAAAAATAATTAACAAATTTGGTTAAAATCAATTAAAATTTTGTTTATAATAAGAATACAGATATCAAAGCTGGATGCCAGTTTTGTTTATTCAGAGCAATTGGTCATTGAGTTTGAATCTTATGGAAACATATTTTGTCTATAAAATAAGTAGAAATGTTGTTACTCCACTGAGTATGAACAGATATTCAGTTTATTATTATAAAACAACAAGCAAGCTTTAGTTCATAATAATAAACTGAAAATCTATTTTTTTTATGATTGGACAATTCACACCAATTGACCTAGTCCCATGCTAAGCTGGTGAAGCTTGTGTTATGGGTACTAGGTAACGGATATACATACATATTATAGATAGATACACATATAAATACATATTTAAACAACCAAGACCTAAGCACAACACCAAATGCTCATCACATCGATGTTTGTCTCAGCCGGGGATCGAACCCGGGACCCATGGATTCGCAGTCAGGGGTACTAACCACTAGACCAATGAGACGTCTATGCTAACATAATTCTGATTACCATAATTGAGTGTTGGTTAAACCGTTTTATCATGCTGCGATGAATGGAATTACTGTCCTTTTCTTTTTCTGTGTATTCGTCATCCGGTAAAAGGGGAACTGGTTCTGCAAAGTGTGCTAAATCAACCTGAAAACAAACAATAGTTTATTAAAACAATTGACATTCTTACTAACATCATTAACCTATTACAAGTTACATTTAATTATCTTAAATAAAATGTTTTGCAATTTATTCATTGTGTTTTTACTACATACAAATGAATAAACATTATTGTGGCTTAACAGATTTAATTCAAATTTTGCGAATTGTTTAAGATTTCTAATTTATCAAGAAAATGAAAAATCTATATTGCAGATTGTATATAAAATTATAACATTGATATTTATTAGCTGTAAAAGATTTTATGTACACTTTTTTAATTCCATATACAGATTTCTGTAGTTTGTCAAGATCCAAATGTATGCAGAACATTGTTTAACTGAGATTAAATTTATGACATACTTAGAAACAAAGTGAACTACCACTCACTGTGAGATCTAAGGTAGTGTGTTTCATTGCGGACGCGATCGCGTGATCATCCATTTTGGCACACTCTCCAAACAGATCTTTACTTGATGATGATGCTATGCGATCCCTGAAAATTTAAAAAAACCCATGCTTAAATAAAAGAGAAAAAGAATTCTGTTCAGAAAAGTAAGTTTGTATTTGTTGCAATGACCCCATAGAACGTAGTTGTTTGTTTTATTAAAGATTTATTGTGCTAGAAACTTTATGAATGCACCCTCAGTGGTTTTACACATTTAACACTGTGCACATTTTCATCAAAATCTGATCTACACATGGTCAAATATTTTTCTGTTGATTTATAGACAGATAAAACAATAAAACAAATGTGCCTTTTTACTTTTAAATTATTTTTTAACTTACCTATGAAAATAATGTGATTGAAAAAACTTAGTCCAAAACTCGGCCTCAGTCATTTTATTAGGAACATAATCTACATGTTTCTTTCTCACAGCCGGGTATGTTTTAAATATAGCATCTATGATATCTTGTGTGAGATTGTATTTAAGACCATTACAGCCATCAGTTTGTGGCTGAATATCTGCTAAAAATGCTCCTGATACACCTATAAAAGTATAGATTTATTTGCTTTAATCATTTGTAACGAATATCTCTTTTCCATTTCAGCTTTTTAGTAAGAGCTTTATAATTTTATACCTATAAACTGGTAGTCTTAGATATGACTCCTGGCAGAATATCTTGTTCCAGATTGCTTGACACATAATAAAAATAAAATGCACCTAGAGTGTCACTTTGTTTTTAAGTAAGGGTGTGTTTTGTGTATTGTAGTTAGCTGAGAGATGTTGTACAATTCTCAAACTGATGTACTTAATGTAAGAGATATTAGACCAGGGGCCTCAATAGCTGTTGATAATGCATGTCTAACAAAACTTACCAGCTTCTTGCTTCAAATTAGTTGATTCTGTATAATGTTTTAATGTTGGTGTATTCCAGTATTCTTCACTATTAATAACTTTTGATATAACTAAGTCTTCATATAAATGCTTCAAAATAGGATGTAATGATAATAACCTGAAATAAAAATGTTTAGGTAACAGATAAATTTATCCATTGAATGCTTTGCAGATTTGCTAAAACAGTATTTATAATTGTGATGGAACAAATTTAGAAAATTATAATTTAGGAATTTATTTTGACTCCATAAGTATATGAGGGTTATATTTATAAATATACTATTAATACAATTACAAAACTAAAGCTGTACAAATTTATGTTATTTAAATGTAAAATATAAAATAATATGTTATTATTGTTTTACTAATGTTTTTTTAACACATATTCATTCATTCATTTCTATTCATTACAAATTTAAACATAAATAATATATTTTCATTTTTTGAATAAAGTACCTAGATTTCATTTCTAATTCTCCATCTATTTGTCTCTTAAATTTAGGAAGAAGATTCTGTAACAACATCTTGACTTTATCCCTGTCTTTAGCTTGTGCTTCTGCTCCAGCAGGGTTAACAAAATGAAAAGTTGAACAAGTGCCATCATGCAATACCACTTGTAATTGCACTTTTGGTTTACCAGCAGGAGATATTTTTTGAGCTGTAATAAACACAGTATACTTTACTATAAAAAATTGGTAAGTATCAACTAATTCCTTTGTGTTATAATTTTAGTATACACAAATGCTAATTGAATAGACTTAGGGTCTGTTTCACAATGTATGGATAAAGTACCAAATAGCTATGCAACACATAAATTATTTGGAAGATAAATTGTGCTTGTCACTTCATCGGACTCATAGCTAATGATGGACTTTATGTGACGAATAGTGCTATCTGACAGTCGTGAAACACAACAATAGTGTTTATCCTACCAATAAGTAATAAATAGCTAATTTGGAACTAATGTAGAACTTATCCTTACATTGTGAAACAGACCCTTAATAAATACACAATGTCTCATATGTTTAGTATAGTAAAATTACACATGATTACTTTGAGTAAGGATTGCCAATGATTGACTATTGGGGTGTTTGACATTCCAACTTTTCTAGCTACCTTGATAACATATTAAAAGTTAAGAATTTCTTACTTTTAATATCAGCATATTTATGAGATACAGCAACAGTGTCTCGATTCTCAAGCATCCAGGCTAGTCTTTGATTCATTACATACAATGTCCCATCGCCCTTTTTATAACGCACATGGTTTACACTAAGCAACACATCTTCTGACGAGGTAGTCATTCTTCAGCGTTAAAACAAAATGCACGGTGTAAAATTGAGGCGTCTTAGCGAGATAAACATTAATTTCTCAATTGTGTCCTTGGCACAGACACTGAAATATTTCACTTAGATTTAAAACTGTTACCAATTATTAAACTATTATTACATTGACTTTTTCAGTCCAGAAGTTCATATGAAATTTATTATTCACTTTTTACTTCTCTTATTAATTATTCTACATTATTTATTCTCTGCGCGAAGTTGCGAATTTCAGTTCATTTCATTTCATTGCAATACCACCAATCTGCAATCTGCATCCTTTAAATCTTGATAGTTTGAGGTTTGTTAATAGATAATGACAATTGACAATTGTTAACATCTCTGTTTTCTAAAGTCTATACCACTGAATACTAATAAATATAATAATATGTATTTCTCTTGAGAACAAGAGTTTATATAGAAACCGCACTAAAACAGAAACGATTGTAGGTATCCGACTATCCTTTGGTCCTTTATTTTAAAGGTCATCCTATTTCCAAATGCGTAAAAAGTAAATAAAACAATTTTGTTCAATTTACTTTACATCGGTAAGCACTAACTAGGCAGTAGTTTTCATCCGGGCGAGTGTCGTCGTTTGTTGATATTTTTTATCAATACAAATTAAATATCTTGTAGCCACCATTATTTTTAAATAAAAATATATTTATCTCGTATTGTTGCTTTATGTTTGTGTTTTTTTACTATCATTAAATTGTACATTTAAAACACATAATATGGCCTATTATATGGTGGTGTAGGGCGTTAAGAGCCTCATTAACTATGAATTAGGGGAAAAGGAAGGAAAGAGAGAATTCCGGTCCAGTTCCGAATAGAGGTCGAGACAAATTTTTAAGTATACCGATTTAATACCTAAGTCAGAATTGGAAGGTGACCTGGAGCAAAACGTATCGTGGATACGTATTCCTGCTTATCTCTCCAAAAAACGTGATATCAAATGTATGGCCTATAGATAACAAGACCTTCCTAAGATAGACGCACCAGCAGTAAAACTATATGCGGAGTAGAGTAGACGAATTGGTCTATTCGTAGTTCGTAGTATTAGTAGCTATTCTTAAAGCAACTCAAAGGATCCTTTGTCACCCTTAAGCAGCCTACGGCGTATATAGTGACTCCCGATGTGAACTCGAAGCTATTGCGGGTGGACGCTCTTTCAATTGTAGTTAAAAACCGTGAGAACATAAATAAAGCGCGTTTAATCAACAAATAAATTGAACATTTTTGGGTTATATCGCATGCAATGAAAGAGCAGACCGACTGGCAAAGGAAGCTGCTTATCTAGAAGAGGCGCCCATGTGCAATAGATTCCCCATATCACATCTGCAGAACTCTATGTGCAAACACGATAAGAAAATGGAAGTGGTTTCGACCTTATAATAAAACAAATAAAACTAACGTAATTGATTACCCAATTAATGTTAATAATTGTAATGGTTAATGTTGACAGGTAACTACGACGGTAGATTCTTGTCATATCTTAACAGGTTCAGAGTTCAGAGAGACAAAATGGCAATACTGTTGAAGAGAGTGTATTGGTATAACACTGAACAAGCTATGGGAATGAAAGTAACAATAGGTTAGGAGATTTCTTTCTGGAATTTGCTGTAAATGTTATACAAAAAGTTATTAAAAGAAATAGGAAGTGCTTAATTATCCTGGTAACCAATGCTATTTACTTAAGTACCTACATAATATATGCAAGTGAATTAATACCTCCGATGTCAACATAAAGTTAGATAGAAAATATATTATTAAAAAAATACACAAAAATTATATAAACAAATAAATTTTCAGCTCCATTGCGCGAGAAATACTTATACTTTATTACACTTGTATTATTGTTTCGTTATTTTTTAGGTTCGGAATTTCCCTTCCAAATAAACAAGACATCTTACCACAGTTCACAAGCAATGAATAACTTTTTAAAATTTTACGAAAGAATATCTTTAATTTTCATCTTAAATCTTAGATTATATACTTATAATTAATTTATCTTAAATATTACAATATATATATATATATATATACAGGGTGGCCAAAGCTTAAGCAGCTTAGAGACCTCCCGTAGAACAATTTTTTGCAGCTGATGACCTCATCTACTCCTATTTGTGTTTGATCCACGACTTTTTGGCCATCCTGTATATATATTGTTTTTTTCATGCAAATAATAATACTTCATGATGTGACCAATTCACTTAACTGTCTAATAAATGTATATGATTGTTACACTTAGTAACTAAAAACCATTAAGCATTAGACTTTGATAAATGATTTTACTGAAAAAGCACAGTAGGAGTTTTATTTATACATGTGATACAACGTTTACAGCCGAATAGCTTTGAGCTTTGTGTCCACTCTTACTTTTTCACCATTTTTATGCCTTAGTACTCTTTTAAATTACAAAAAAATTAAAACTTTTATCATTTTAGAAAATATGTTCTCCATATCACTGTGTATTATAAGATATATTACTTCAGGACAAAGTACTTCATCATCTTCATCATTCAAATATTATTTAAGGAGGCTTGGTCTAAGATCCCGCTATACAACGACCTTCACCGAGATGCTTATTTAATGAAACTTATTTTATATATAATTTAATATGTCAAAAATATAATCCATATGGGTTGCCTAGCAAATTTCAGTCCAGAGTATGTTTAATTAATTTAAAAAAAAATATTTTTTTAAACATTGCACCGGTATGATTATTAGATAAATTCTATACCAATCGAAAGTATGAAGCCCATAGAATATGCAAACGTTAGGTTGTTTTTAATCAATTAATTATTTATGTGTATATTTTTTATGTGACACTAAAGTATATATACATCTTTAGTATAAAAGAAGGTTATAGTGATACATATATAATACTACCCTGATTAAAAATATTGATTGAAAAAAGTTCAAAAAATTTACTACATGCAAATTATAAAAAAAAAATTTTTTTTTTAATATTAATTAAACATACTCTGGACTGAAATTTGCTAGGCAACCCATATGGATTATATTTATTGACATATTAAATTAAATATAAAATAAGTTTCATTAAATAAGCATCTCGGTGAAGGTCGTTGTATATAGCGGGATCTTATACTAGCTAGCCTCGGTATGATTATTCATAATATATTAAAATGTATTATGATGATTTTAAAATAAACAATTATTATTATGAACGCATCCTTAATAGACCGCCATTTTATTTATTGTTGACTTGCAACACTGAACATTGACAACCCAAAATGCAATCATGGCGCACGGGGTACTGTGTTTGTAGAATGCTGAGAAGTTTTTACGTAAACACTTCGTTTGTTTGCATTTTAATTGGTAAATAATTTTGTATAAATGGTCTTTATTTAACAAGGAATCTACAGAAGCATACATATGTGTTCTATGTTTGAAGTTTTCGCCTCTTCGCAATATCGTCTCTGTACCACTAGACACTTGCAGGTATGAAAATGATGAGAATTGCTGTTTTAGTAATCTTTATTTATCTATAGTTATCATGTTCGTTACTTGTATCTGACTCTTAAGTAAAATTCTAGACAAACAAGAATACGACTTAGTTTAAGTTCTTAATGTTGATATATTCAATTGTTCCAGATAACTTTGTTGGTGTCATAATGTCAGAGGCATACGCTCGTGAAGTACTTCGAAGGAATGTTGCGCAAATATGTCAAACCATAGGATGGAATGGAATAAATTCAACCCCACTGGATATTTTAGTTCATGTATTAGAAAAATATATATGTGCATTGGGAACACAAGCTAACAAACATGCTGAGCAATTTAATAGGACTGAACCAACCTTAGACGATTTAGGATTAGTTTTTCGTGATCTTCATGTACAGTTGCCAGAGTTGGCAGAATATACACGCTGTGTCCCACCTGTTCCACCTCCTGTCCGAACAGAAAGATTTCCAAAACCTAAAGAATCTAACCTGAATTTTCTTAAGCCTGGTAGCCATGAAGTTGTTACAAGACCAATGCATGTCCATGAACATTTGCCACCAATGTACCCTGAAAAAGAGCGAGATACTCCAGCTGTTGCTGGTACTGTTGAGATTTGTCAGAATGGTTTTGATGGTGTTGAAAACACTTCATGTGCAAGTCCCGAAATATCAGTTACAGATAGTCCAGAAAAATCTAAGGATATTTTCAAGAGACCTAATGATCCAGTGTCGTTACCTAATAGTAAACGACCAAGGTTACGACTGGATGAGGAGGAAAGAACAAGAGAAATAAGCAGTGTAATGATGACTATGTCTGGCTTCTTATCACCTGCCCGTGAAGGAAAACTTCCAGAAGCACGTCCTCCAACGATAATTTCTGAAAAACACCATGATAGACATAAAGTTAATTCTCATCATAGTAATACTGCAAAAGTACCGTCAGCAGAAAAATCTGATAAGAAGACAAAGAAAAGTAAGTTATTAAATGGAAAAGTTATGAAAAGTAAAAGAAAAGATAAAAGTCATAAAGGAGAAAGTAGTAAATCTAGGGATAATAGTAAATTAGATAGGTATCCACCTGGATATCCTCCTCAACGAAGTAAAGATATTCATCCGGCCCATCATAATCATGTGACAATGCCAGCGCCGAAGATGTTTCCACCGCCTCTAAAACCTGTACCGCTTCCACAATCAGTACCATCTTCACCAGCTATTACTGAACCCTTGAGACCAGTTATTAAACAAGAACCAATTGATTTTCCTTCACCTCAACCTATTTTAAAAAGCTTTAAACCACCTGAAGATGCAATACCCGTACCAAGAAAAATCCCAATTTCCAAATCCCCTCTTGTCTCAAACCCACTCTCTGTAAATAAACAACCTGGGTCCTCTTTTATACCAGATAGAGAAATAAAAAAGGAAGTGGTGGATGAAGAAGAAAAACTGGCATCCCAGCCAGATAGATCAAAGATTAATATATTTAAAAGAATATCGAACAAATCAAAAGAAGATAAAAATATTACTGAGGTTGTAACTGAAAGATTACATTCTGATCCTATAATATCAAGATTGCAGAATTCCACTAATGATGAACCTAGGTTAAAACCTCATGAAAACATTGTTAATAATAACAATAGTAGTCCAGTAGATTTAGCAAAAGAATTTGACATAAGAGCCCATGAAGTTATAGATATTGATGACGATTCTTTGGATAATAATTTAGCAATGCCTCCAACAAGGATGTTGCCATTTGAGCCAAAGCCGGCTTTATCAATAAATAAATCTTTGCAAGCTGCTCTTCCTAAACATTTGACTGAAACACCAAAAGTAAAAAAAGAAAAGAAACACAAAGATAAGAAAGACAAGGCTGCCAAGCTAGAAGCTAAATTAAAGAAACAACAACAACTAGCATTTGAAATGGTGCACACAGCAGATAAAAAAAATATAAAACTACTAAATGACAAACCATCAAAACTTGGACGACCAAAGAAAGAGTCTAAAGTGCCTCAATTACCACCTGGATTTCCCTTTTTTCCAACAATGGCCCCTGGTCGAGGTATGATGCCTGGTCCAGGGCTAATTCCAAATGCCGGTCTACTAGGTAATGATTTTTTAACTGGTTTAGCTAATAATCCAGCTTTGCGAGGCCTGCATTCACAAAATTTAATGAGCAATCCATTTGCTTTAGGTGGAGGGCCCGGATTGATACCAGGGCCAAGTTTTCTACCAGGGTTGCCTAATCACCTTATACCAAATATGGGCAATTTTCCACATACTTCAAGATCATCTTCAAGTAAGATTCCTACAATGTTTAGAAGGCCAAGTTTAGAAGTTATAGCTGTTGACAATGATGAAGATAGAATGATGCATAAATCACCTGGAATGGGCCATGAAAAAGATCGACATGACAAGCACAAATCATCAACCATTCCAAATATTTTACAAAAACAAAAAGCAAAGTCAAATAAAGAACACAAATCTAATGTCTATAAAATGCCACCAGTGCAACCTGATATAACAATAGAATTAAATCCACCAAAGTCTGAACCAGTTAGACAAGAGCCGCCTAAAGAACTACCTGTACCACAGCCAGTCAGGCTACCAACGCCAGAACCGTCTGTAAGTATAAAGAACTCTGAGCCTACACAAGATATTGAACCAATTCCCCCAAAACCAGAAGATTTAGCTGTCATTACTAGAGAAGAAGGTGAAAGTTCAGAAAAGAGAAAGGATAAATCTCATAAAAAGGAAAAAAGAGATAAAGATGGTGTTAAAATTAAGAAGAAAAAAGATAAAAAGGATAAAAGTAAAGAAAAATCTGAAAAGAAAAAAGATAAAGAAGAAAGACAAGAGATAAAGGATAGGATTAAAAAAGAAAAGAAGGAGAAAAAGAAAGAAAAGTTAGCTACTATTGATGGTCTAGTACCAAAATTAACTCTTAAATTGGGATCTTCAAATTCAAACTCTCCTATGCCTCCAAGTTCTCCTGATACTTTTAAGTTAAACATTAAACCTATAAAAAGAGAAGATGATTCACCTATGAAAGAGGAACCAGTATCGCGTGAACATAGTAGATCACCCGAACTTGCACAGATCTCAGCACTGGTCACACGGCCACCAAAACAGAAAAATTCTAAAAACAATCATGTTGGAGAACCAGAAGCTCAAGCATCATCTTCTCCTCCGGCTTCACCGCAACGAAAGAATCGACCCCCATCAAGTCATTCTAAGTACAAGAGAATATTATTTAAGCCTTTGTCTAAAAAAGGGCATGTGGAAAATTTTGATGATGAAACAGGTTCAGTTACAGAAGAAGGATCACAACCAGCTGTAGATAAACCAAGTGGCCCCTTGCCTACTCCATATTATGTAGATGAACATGGAAACAAAGTTTGGGTTTGTCCAGCATGCGGCAGGCCCGATAATGGTTCGCCTATGATAGGGTGCGATGGTTGTGATGGCTGGTACCACTGGATATGCGTCGGGATTACAGAAGAACCTGGCGCAACAGAGGACTGGTTTTGTAAATCTTGTCTTGCTAAGCGAACAGCAATGTTACTAGCAGGGGTAACGTCGGGGAAGAAAAGAGGTAGGAAACCAAAAGGGGAAAAAGTCAGAGACTGTCATTGATAGAGTTGTTACTGAGATTAGTTTTAAATTTTTCGTTTTATAGACGCGCGAATGGATTGCGATTGTTAATGGATTATTGTTGAATGATATCATGAAGATACGTTTTTGTCATTTATAATGTTAATAATATCATAGGCTAGGTCTTAAGAATAGATACTAATTAAATATTGACATAAAATGTTGAACATGAATAAAGAAAATAGTGTAGGTACTTGTAATAATTACCATAGTTTTTGTTAAATTTCTTTTAATTCTTCGCTCGTTTAGATCAAGTATAAGAGTGCGGGCGTGTTGTACACATACGCAGATAACATAGAATATTAAATATAAGATTCTTTTTATATTGTACAAAAGCTGAATTTACTTAAGAAATTGGTGATGTATAAAGTAATGTAGTGAATATTTAAATGAACAGAAAGAAGGCTGAATGCATTTCGGTCAATATTTGAATATTTTCATATTATAATTTTAATATAACCCTGTTTTTTTGTTAATGTTGTTCCTTTGTATCTATGTACAGGGCTAGCACAATATCGCAACCCTCTCACTCTATAGAACACTTCGGTGTTATGTATAGTTCACTAAAGATGGCGTGACGGTGCTTGTCCTTAATTCATTGTATGTGGAGGAGAGGTTAAATGTAAAAATTTTAATTTCAGCCAGTGGCCAATTAAATATATTGGTACTACAAATTGTTGTAAATTATTTTAATCTGTTGAAACAAGAAAAACATCTGGAGTAATTACAGTAATTTATTTTTTTAACAAGCGTGATACATAAATTCTAGCTATAAAAAATGTTTTTATGATCAATAACTGAATACTGTCTTGCCACACATTAGGTGTTTTTCAGTATCTAATAACAATTATTAAAAAAAACTACAATGTGGTAAACAAAAATCCCTTTAGTCTTATAGGTAATCATATTTATTACACATAAACTGACTAAAAATGCAACAAGCATCTACATTAATGTTAATTTTTACTTGTGGAGGGACCTGGGGGTATACTTTCTGGAGGTGGGATAGTAGGCTGTTTTTCTTTATTCCAATCTTTAAGGCCTTCTGGTAAAGTAGTGTCTTCATCTAATGAGCCTGTGCCAGCTACAAATTCTTCATAAGTACTCTTTTCAGGGAATGGTCTAGGACCTAACAATTCAATCATGTCATCTCTACTAAGGATCTCTTGTTTCAGCAAACGTTCAGCAACTTTTTCAATATTACCTTTATGCTGAACCAACAACTCTTTTGTGTGTTTGTGGGCAGAATTAATTAAGACCCTTACTTCAGAGTCAATCAATTCAGCAGTTTTTTCTGAATAAGGTTTATCAATAACCATTTCACCAGGTTGTGGCATTTCAAAAGAAATATTTCCCACTTTTGTATTCATTCCATAATGTACAATTTGTGCATATGCACTTTGAGTTATTTTTTTTAAATCATCTTGAGCACCAGTTGTTATTCTGCCAAAGAATATTTCTTCGCTTACTCTACCTCCAAGTGTCATGCACATTCTATCAAATAACTGTTCTTTACTGTATAAGTACTGTTCTTTAGGTAAATATTGGGCATATCCAAGACCTTTCCCTCTGGGTATTATGGACACTTTTAATAAAGGATCTGCATGCTGTAAAAACCAACCAGCTACAGCATGACCAGCTTCATGGTACGCTACAATTTTTCGTTCTTCAGGTTGCAGGACATTTGATTTTTTTTCCATACCAGCAACAACTCTTTCAATGGCCTGTTCAAAGTTTTTCATACTAATGTCAGAAGACAGTTCCCTGGCAGCAATCAGTGCAGCTTCATTACAAACATTTGCAATGTCAGCACCAGTGAAACCTAAAATATTATGAAATAATATTAATTTAAAAGATAAAGTTCTTAACTTGCATTTTAGTTGACAAATGTCTAAATTAATATTATCTAACTGATTTTAAAAAAAAGTTTAGTATCATCAATAATAGCTAAGTTTTTAGTAAATTACTAATTCAGTTCAAGGAGTAAATGTTTTAGTTTCTTGTATTTTTTAAAATTAAATGTTGTAGGCTAGATGGCAAATTAAGGGAAACTTATAATTTTAAGTATTTTACATAATAATAATTGTAATAAGTACCTGGTGTTAAAGCAGCCATTTTTCTGGCTAAATTTTGTTTATTAAGAGTTGTTTTTAACGGAGTTAAATGCACTTTAAAAATAGAGGCTCTACCCTTGATATCCGGTGCTGGGACAAAGATTTGCCTATCAAATCTGCCAGGTCTTAAAAGGGCTTTGTCTAGAATATCAACTCTGTTAGTTGCAGCCAGCACTACTACATTAGTAGTTGTATTAAATCCATCCATCTCAACTAAAAGCTGATTTAATGTATTTTCTTGCTCAGAATGGCCTCCAAAGCTACGGCCACCTCGCTTTCTACCCACGGCATCAATTTCATCAATAAAAAGAATGCATGGAGCATGCTTACGAGCCATTGAAAACATATCTCTAACTCTGGAAGGTCCAACCCCTACAAACATTTCCAAAAATTCTGAACCAGAGACAGTTAAAAATGGAACATTTGCTTCTCCAGCAGTGGCTTTAGCAAGCAATGTCTTTCCTGTTCCAGGAGGGCCAGTAAGCAAAGCTCCTTTAGGAATTTTTGCCCCTAAGTCAATATATTGCTGTGGATTCTTTAGAAAGTTGACAAACTCCATTATTTCAATTTTAGCTTCCTCACAGCCAGCAACATCTTGAAACTTTACACCAATGTCAGTTGGATTGATTAATTTTGCAGTAGATTCCATGACACCTCCAAAAAGTCCTCCACCCTTACGACCACCTCTTCCCATCATGTCCGCTGATCTTCTCATCATATAAATTAAAAATCCAATTATTAATAATGTAGGCAGCATTCCTGTTAAGCTTGATGCCTCAACTTCAGTTCTGTATATGACTGGTAGGAAATTTTGTGGTTCTACATTCATTTCTCCTTGAGCATTCTCCAAGTTCCTCTCAAAAGAATCAACACTGCCAATTGCAAACCATATTACTTTCCCTTCAAAAGTGCCTGGTTGTAATCTTACTCTCACCCACTTCTTATTAATAACCTCTAGTTTTTCAACTATGCCTTTCTTTAAATATGAATTAACGAAATCACGCCAACTTATTTCTCGGTATTTTAGTTCAAAATATGCAATTGAGGCAATTAAAGTGACTACACCCAAAGCACCAAACATAATCCATTTTTCACGATCTTGTCCTTCGTAACCACCACGTCCAGTTCCCCTACCGCCAGGAGTATTGAACATATTGATATTCCATTTATCTTGAGATGAACTTGCCTTTGGAGGTGGCGGTGAAGATTTAGATGGCGCAGGCGAAGCATCTTTTTCAGGTTTCTTTTGTTGTTTCTGACTAGTTCCTGGCTGAAAATACTTTTCAAATCCTTTGGGAGGTTTCTTGCAAAATTCGTACCACTGGTTTAGAACAGAATCTAAAGCCGGAACACCAAGTGGTTGTAGTTTGTGCCCCTTGAAGTGAAGCTTCGAAAGTTGGGATTGTGTAAGCCTAAGACCTTTCCACATACTGTTATGGTTAAATTTTTATTTTAAGTAATTAAATGTTTTTCGTTATGATTATTATGTCACATTTATTCGACAAGATCCCACACAATCTTATGTTCCAATAAAAACATGGTTAAAAAATCTGTCAAAATTTCAATGTCTTATGTCATATACATCTCGGAATACGGAAACAATGATCACGCAATGTTGTGAAACAATTAGCTGTTGTAATCATATTAATAATTTTCTACTTTAATGTATAGAGCTGTGAAACTTGATCTTCATTCTTAAATGTTTAATCATGTTTTAAAATTTACAATTATTAAATATATAAGTGTGACTCGATATTGCAATATTTTTAATTTCTGGGGCTCGAAATACCTCCCGCTAGTCGCATCTTTAATGTGAACATTTTACTCTCACTTTATTCATATTGGCAGTAGATAGACAGATATTTTATTATTATTAACTTGCAAATTAAAACATGCTTACTTATAGTTTTTATGTATGTTTAATGCAGTGCATGCAATACATGCAACACTCGACGTTGAGTAGTTTGCGATTAGTCGATAAACTAATTTATTCGTTCACGTCTGAAAAAACAGTAAAACAAACTATACGTTCGTTCAACGATGACTACTAAATTCTAGCGTTTCAGTTAGGGATTTGGTTTATAGGGTCACGCTGGCTGGACAAAATTTATTTGTCTAAGTCGCTGTTGAGGCCGTCTCTTAAGTCTTAGCTCATATACATCTGAATGATCATACCTGTGTGTTTACTGTTTACTTCTACATGATCTGTGGCTGTGTGTTGAAACTGTAGATTTCTCAATTTTAATTTCACACACCACTAAATAAATAAAAGTATTTTGATTATATACATTCATTACAGATTTATCAATTTAATATTAGAAAAGCCTTTTTTGTATTAAGTGTCAAATATCATATGCTTACCTTTACTAAGTAATAATGGATCAAGAAAAACCAGAAAGTACTATGAATCACGGAAAGAGATCACGACCTTTGTTATTGCAACCAAACGCCAAGATTCCCAGATTATCAGCATATGCAAACTCTACATCTAGTTCAGTGCTAAAGAATTCAAAGAAAGCATCGTCTCACTCAAAGAAGATAAAGGTGTTGTATAACGCTACTGATGTTCCAGCCCCTGGCACACCTGTTCCCGACAAGGTTGTACGTAAAGCTGGGCCATATTTACTTGGGCCAAAATTGGGTCCTAGTCCAGTTAAGAGCATTGTACAGTGCCTGGCACGCAAGGAGAAAAGTGACGATTTCTATCAAATAAAAATACTTACGTTAAAGCCTGAGGGGCAGCCTGAAACACAAGATGATAGACAGGGGAAAATGCTGTTACATACAGAGTATTCATTATTATCATTATTAGAGGATCGGGATGGTGTGGGACATCACCATGGACTTTTTAAGGTACATAAATAACTCCATAATATAATACATAATATAATTGCACCAGTTTTATAAGCAAACAAATTGTTAGCTATATTTATCGTAAAATAGTGTGAGAGTTTAATAATTGATTTGATTAATATGGATAATATTCCAGAAAAATTTAGTACTAAATAATTTCTTTCAATCTATATAACTCATTATATACGTTTTGTACTAGCATTTTATTTATTTATTTAGTTATCAAGCCCACGACATCACACACAGTCCTAAATCTACCAATAATTTCACAAAATCTTACATCCAAAATGTGCGACAAGCAGCGCAAGCATAAGTTTCTCAAAAAAAATCAAATAGAAATTTAAAAAAAATACAACTAAAACACACACGACAATACACACATTAAAATAAAATATTTTTTTACCATACACATAAAATAAAATGAAATTTGTTGGCACTGAGCAGAAAAAAAAAGAAAAATCATCAGAGAAACAGCAAAATTAGGTTTGAGAAAGACACCCCACAATGCTTTCTCTAAAACCAATCAGCCCACTACCGAATATATTCAGCTCCGGATAAGCTGTGTTCAATTTTTTAAAATCACGAAGAATTCGAACGAGAGGTGCCTGAACTCCTAGGTTGGTTTTGGCAGAAGGAATTTGGAAGATATTGTTGATTTTAAACCTAGGGAATGATTTTAATTATTAGGTAAACAAGTTTTCCTATTAGGTAATGTCCAGCTAGTTAAATTTATTTATGTAAGAGTAGAACTTAATGTACTTAATGAAATTATATTAATCTATAAGAAGGGAGATCCAAAGGATATTGGTAATTATAGGCCTATCAGCTTACTGTCCGCCCTATATAAACTATTTTCAGCATTGTTACTAAGTAGAATAACAGAAAAAATAGATCAGAGACAATCAATAGAACAGGCAGGCTTCCGCTCTAGCTTTTCCACAATAGATCACATACATACCATTGAACAACTCCTAGAAAAATTCAAAGAATTTAATCAACCTCTCTATATTGGGTTTGTAGATTACCAAAAAGCATTTGACACCATCACCCACAGCTCTATATGGAAAGCTTTACAGGCTTGTGACATAGACACAAGCTACATTAACATAATTAAAGATATTTACTCTAGGAACACGAGCAGAGTAAAACCCGAAAAAACAGGAGAAAATATAACCATCAACAGAGGCGTAAGACAAGGAGATCCACTGTCACCCAAATTGTTTATAGCAGTCTTAGATACTGTATTCCAAAAATTAGACTGGAGTAAAAAAGGAATTCGGATTCATGAAAAACATTTGAGTCACTTAAGGTTTGCAGATGACATAGCTGTTTTTGCTAAATCAGCACAGGAACTGGAACAAATGATGCAAAACCTGAACAAGGAAAGCAAAAAAGTAGGGCTGTATATGAACGCTACAAAAACAAAAATAATAACAAATAGCAGTAGGAAGCCCATTCAAATAGACGGAGTCTGCATTGAATATGTTAAAGACTACATTTATCTAGGTAAATTGATATCATTTGAACCAAACAGCAACGACGATGAGGTAGAATGAAGAATCAAAAACTCATGGAAAAGTTTCTGGTCTCATAAAGAAATACTCAAAGGAACCTATAACTTAAAAGTAAAGAGAACAGTAGGGTAGTAGGACTCCTTTCTCCGCAATTAGACTCGTCACAATGGTCCGTTGTGCGTACAAAGAGAACAGTAATGGACACATGTATTTTACCTTGTCTAACATATGCAAGCCAAACATGGGTATTCACTAACAAAGTGAGAAACAGATTGCTTACGACACAACATGCTATGGAAAGGAGCATACTGAAAATTAAGAAGATACAAAAGATAAAGAACGAAGACATACGCCAACAAACTAAATTAACTGATGCTCTTAGGCACGCCTAAATAATGAAATGGCAATGGGCAGGACATATCTCTTGATACATCAACAAAAGATGGACTGTACAAACTACAAAATGGACTGGTCCACTTGGTAAGAGAAACATAGGTCGACCCAAAAAAAGGTGGGTGGATGACATAGTCAAAGTAGCAGGCGGAAACTGGATTACTACAGCTACAAATAGAATAAAATTGAAAAAAATGGAGGAGGCTTTTACCCAGATGGGATCCAAACTTTGAATATACTAATGTTACACATACTAACATAGACTAAGATTACTACATATTACTAACATATAAAATATTCTTACTTCTTTTTTGTACCTTAATGAGTTTGGAATAAATAAAGCTATAATAATAATAATAAGAACTTAATGTTTGTTATTTTATCATTTGTCTTACAGGATCATGCTCTAGAAGAAGCGCCCAACCCAAATGGACCTGGTTTTATTTATACTGGTAGGGTGCGACAGAGGCTCTTTCTGGTGCTTGACTGTGTCAGTGCCCACCAATTTAGTGAAAAAGGGAGCGAGTTAATTAATTTACAACAGTATGTTACAAAAGTCAAGAAAGTACCTGAAAAAGAGGCAATTTTGATATTCTATGATATTGTGAGAGTAGTTGCTAATTTACATAAGGTTAGTTACTATAATTAAGTTTTTACGCAAATGTGTGTTTGATCTCCCACAATATTGTAATACCCATAATATGTAATATTATGTCTTCGATAATATTTCTGTATAAGTTCACATTTCAAGGATCGCTTGAATTAATTGGATGCTCGCTTAAATGTCATTGCTTGTGTGTGTCCATGAGATTTCGACTATGTGTTTGCGTGTTGTTCCCACGAGATTGTAAGTGCGTGCTCCTATTTCACTATGCCTCCTGCTGATAGAAGACAAGTCTTTGTTTTTAATTTATTTTATTTTATTATTATTAATTACTTAAGATGTGTTGTGGAACATGGTGTAATGGTTGCAGCTCCTTACAAACATTGTGTAAAAAAAAACAAAGAGAACAAGTGAAAAAAAAGAAAGAGTGGTGGAGAGTTTATTGCTAGTTATTCTCTTCCGTTCTACACCCTTGATTTGAGAACTGGCACTAAATGTAAAGTTAGAAGCATTTCATATACATTTCTTTTTTGACATTTATAAGTTACCTATATTATTAAATGTTTTTTTGACCTTGACTCATAGGTGCAGCTTTAGGAGACATAAAGCCAGCTGTTGAAGGCTAAACCGTCACCAGTAAAAAACCAACCATTAGCAACTAAACCATTGAGGCAGTCCTGAACATATTATCAAATATTGTTTATTATTAGGAATTTGCATAGCATAACATATTAAACATCAATTATTATGTCATGATAAATGCAAATTGTTTTGTAATCATAGAACATATTTAATTAATAAATAATATGCCTTATCCCTTTTTTTCAGAGAAACATAGTACACAGAGATCTAAAATTAGGCAATATTGTATTAAACCAAAGGACAGGACGGGTGATTTTAACAAATTTCTGTTTAGGAACACATCTTGGCAGTGATAGAGACTTATTAAAGGATCAGAGAGGTATCTTTTTATATTAATTTAATGTGTAAAATGTCAAATTTTTCAACATACATTAAAATAGCAATAAATATAACAATATAAATTTGTATTGCTTTTGCCTTCGTGAGTAAGACTATAGATATAGGTCTATTTCAATTATAGTTTTTCCTTAAAGCAAATTTATCATTGATATTTAATTTGTCAAAATTTTTAATATTTGAGAGAAGCATGCATGCATGATATAATTGCATGCATCATGTTAAAATTTTGATTGATACACAGTCTTGTTATAAAAAGTGTATGTATAGTACAGGGTTTTCTTACCCTGTAAAGTACATTTAGTTTGTTTCTTAATATGGGGACCAGGGTATAAACGCACAACATGTGGCCACTAATCTGATGCTGTATGTTTATGCTTATTTGTATGATTATTGAGCTAACTATCAGTATAATGTCTAATAAGTAATTTCTGTCTAAATAATTTATCAATTCTTACTAAATTACATATTCTGACCTATACTATCACTTCATTTTCTAATCTTCTTTCATTTGATAATCTTCTTGATAAATCTCCTAATTTTATCTAAGTCTGACCAATATATTAACAAAAAAAAAAAAAAAAAAAAAAAAAAAAAAAAAAAAAAAAAAAAAAAGGGGTTTTTTTTTTGGGGGGGGGTTTTGGGGGGGGGGGGGGGGGGGGGGGGGGGGGGGGGGGGGGGGGGGGGGGGGGGGGGGGGGGGGGGGGGGGGGGGGGGGGGGGGGGGGGGGGGGGGGGAGAAAAAAAAAAAAAAAAAAAAAAAAAAAAAAAAAAAAAAGAGGGGGGGGGGGGGGGGGGGGGGGGAGGAGTGGTGGGGGGGGGGGGGTTTTTTTTTTTTGGGGGGGGGGGGGGGGGGGGGGGGGGGGGGGGGGGGGGGGGGGGGGGGGGGGGGGGGGGGGGGGGGGGGGGGGGGGGGGGGGGGGGGGGGGGGGGGGGGGGGGGGGGGGGGGGGGGGGGGGGGGGGGGGGGGGGGGGGGGGGGGGGGGGGGGGCCCCCCCCCCCCCCCCCCCCGCGGGGGGGGGGGGGGGGGGGGGGGGGGGGGGGGGGGGGGGGGGGAAAAAAAGGAAAGAGAAGGGGAGAGGAAAGAGGGGGGGGCGGGGGGGGGGGGGGGGGGGGGGGGGGGGGGGGGGGGGGGGGGGGGGGGGGGGGGGGGGGGGGGGGGGGGGGGGGGGGGCCGCGGCGGCGGGGGGGGGGGGGGGGGGGGGGGGGGGGGGGGGGGGCGGCGGGGGGGGCGGCCCCCCCGCCGCGCGCGGGGGGGGGGGGGGGGGGGGGGGGGGGGGGGGGGGGGGGGGGGGGGGGGGGGGGGGGGGGGGGGGGGGGGGGGGGGGGGGGGGGGGGGGGGGGGGGGGGGGGGGGGGGGGGGGGGGGGGGGGGGGGGGGGGGGGGGGGGGGGGGGGGGGGGGGGGGGGGGGGGGGGGGGGGGGGGGGGGGGGGGGGGGGGGGGGGGGGGGGGGGGGGGGGGGGGGGGGGGGGGGGGGGGGGGGAGGGGGGGGGGGGGGGGGGGGGGGGGGGGGGGGGGGGGGGGGGGGGGGGGGGGGGGGGGGGGGGGGGGGGGGGGGGGGGGGGGGGGGGGGGGGGGGTGGGGGGGGGGGGGGGGGGGGGGGGGGGGGGGGGGGGGGGGGGGGGGGGGGGGGGGGGGGGGTGTATCGGGGGGGCGGGGGGGGGGGGGGGGGGGGGGGGGGGGGGGGGGGGGGGGGGGGGGGGGGGGGGGGGGGGGGGGGGGGGGGGGGGGGGGAGGGAGAAAAAGGGGGGGGGGGGGGGAGAGGGTGTTTGGGTTTTTTTTTGGTGGGGGGGGATAAAGTGGGGGGGGGGGAAAAAATTATATTTTGGGGGGGGGGTGGTTTGTCGGGGGGGCGCGGGGGGGGGGGGGGGGGGGGGGGGGGGGGGGGGGGGGGGGGGGGGGCCGGGGGGGGGGGGGGGGGGGGGGGGGGGGGGGGGGGGCCCCCCCCCCGGCGCGCGGGGGGGGGGGGGGGGGGGGGGGGGGGGGGGGAAAAGACCCCCCCCCGGGGGGGGGGGGGGGGGGGGGGGGGGGGGGGGGGGGGGGGGGGGGGGGGGGGGGGGGGGGGGGGGGGGGGGGGGGGGGGGGGGGGGGGGGGGGGGGGGGGGGGGGGGGGGGGGGGGGGGGGGGGGGGGGGGGGGGGGGGGGGGGGGGGGGGGTTTATTTTTGGGGGGTTTTTTTTTTTTTCCCCCCCCCCCCCCGGGGGGGGGGGGGGGGGGGGGGTGCCGGGGGGGGGGGGCCCCCGGGGGGCCCCCCCCCCCCCCCCCCCCCCCCCCCGGGGGGGGGGGGGGGGGGGGGGGGGTGTTTTTTTTTTTTTTGGGGGGGGGGGGGGTTTTTATAAATTTTGGGGGGGGGGGGGGGGGGGGGGGGGGGGGGGGGGTTTTCCTTTCCTGCTCCCCCTTTTAAAAATTTTTTTAAAAAAATATGGGGGGGGGGGGAAAAAAGGGGGGGGGGGGGGGGGGGGGGGGGGGGGGGGGGGGGGGGGGGGGGGGGGGGCGGGGGGCGGGGGGGGCCCGGGGGCCCGGGCCCCCCAAACCCCCGGGCCGGGGGTTTTTTTTTGGGGGGGGGGAGGGGGGGGGGGGGGGGGGGGGGGGGGGGGGGGGAAGGGGGGGGGGGCGCCCGCGCCCCTTTTTTTTTGGAAAAAAAACCGGGGGGGTGGGTGTTTTTTTCCCCCCGACATATTGAGGGAATTTCAATTTCCGGTATTTGGCACGAGCAATATTTTTTTTTTGGTGGGGTGTTTAAAAATTTTAACCTGGCCCCTTTTTTTTCGGTCTTTCCGTTGATCCACACTGTCCCACACTCGTAGTTGAATTTTTTCTTATTATTAAAAAATAATTATAATTTATATCCTTCAGACAATGTAATCTTGGTTAGTAAGTGAAATTTGAAACTATTTACAGTAAGGTTTTTTTATTATTTTCAGTAAGTTTTAAATGTAACAAGCAGTTATAAAAAATAATATTATAACATTATAAAAAATATCAATACAAGAAAAACAGATAATATTAGAAAAACTGAAGGGAAGGTTATTTCAATGCTTATAGAATAATCTTGTGTCATAGAGCCGTCAAGAGTCTGTTAACACAAACTCCCTGACAATTTTCCACCATGTGCTGTCGCCTATAGTACTTAAGATGCTCTTCCTACTTAAATTTATAAATTTGTGATTTCAGGATCTCCAGCGTACATATCACCAGATGTTCTAATGTGTAAGCCTTACTTAGGCAAGCCATCAGATATGTGGGCATTAGGAGTTGTTCTATACACAATGTTGTATGGACAATTTCCATTCTGTGATACAAGTCTAGCCCAGTTATTTAGTAGGATACAAGCTGCAAACTATAATATACCACCGTAAGTATATGATTAATTATTAGGCAAAACATTTTTTTTATTATCAAAAATAAATACAATGGTGAAATAAAAATTGATTTAAATTGTTGTATTTTGTGTGTTTGTGTTTCGCTTTCAATTGTACGATATATATATTTGTGTGTTAATTGACAATTAAACATTATGTTTTATATTTAAGGGATGGCAACCCAGTCCATGTTTCTGACAACACAGTTTTTCTCATACAGAGGCTGTTGGTAAAGGATCCTAAACATAGACTTGTCGCCGATCAGGTAATAGATATTTATAGTCGTTGGAGATTTCTCTTATGACAAGAATTAGCTAAAAGTTGCATAATTTAGGCCATTTTTGTAAACATGGTAACAATGTTATGTCTATACAGATAGAATGGTTACCATGGCAACAAGCACGACACTTAAGCTTAGGTTTCCTAGAAAAGCGGTGACTTGGACGAGCGAAAACAATCATTTTCGCTCGTCCAAGTCACGTTTCCACTCATTGTATTAATTAAATATGGGCACCGCTACACGCGAAAAACCTTGAACTACTGTTTATCACCGCTATGACGGCCGTCATGCAAATGACAGCACCGCTATTTGACGTTACGGTGACACTCTTTCTCTAGAAAACCTACTCCGATGTTATTTATAGACAACGTATGGGTGACGTCACCCAACGTTACATTACGGCCGTTGGATAACGGCACCGCTTTTCTAGGAAACCGTAGCTTTAGAATATATTATGTCGATGTTGTAAATGATACGCCAGTCAGATTTACACTGTTTTATATGTTTAAAAAACATGGTATGCACAAAGTAACACACAGGTAATTGGGCTCTGCCTAGAAATGGGCCCTGATTGAGAATGCTTTTATACTCCGTTCGCACGAATGTCAGACTGGACTTTGCTGATGATGATATTTTTATAATACTTTCTGTTGCCGATGACGCTTGCGCCTAGTCAACGCCCTAAGAAACTGCATCTTTATTGTGTTTGTACACAAATATTACGTAAAATGTCGACTTCCCCTGTTGAAACAATAGTTTTTGTTTATAAAACGAAAGAGTTTGTAATCGTAGAGTTTTCGAATTGAGAAAAAAACCACCTCACATTTACAGGTGCTAGACCAACTATCTAGTATTATAGCTAGTTATGTGGTTGTGCCAAATCCACCGGAAGATCTGCAAGTCGTTCCAGATATTCCGCTAGAGGAGGTGAAAGAGAAACCGTCTGAGAAAAGTAGCGATTTGGAGAGGAAACCACTTTTCTCGGATGCAGAGAGAACGCCCAATTCTAGTGTAAGTAATGAATATATTTATAAAACAAATCATAAATTCACACCCAATGCGTATACTTAATGCGAAATAATAAGTGAAGTTATTTGTCCGTAATGTAATATTGAAACTGCACTTGTGTAATGGGATTTATATTATTTGCCAATAAATGAAAAATCGTTTAACATATTTTTGTCCTATATATTGTTAAATTTAAAATGAAAAACGATTGCGGTGAATTATCTTACATAATGTTATGGACCGTTGGTAGTGTTAATTATAGGACCACCACTTACCACTCCTTTGCTAAGTTGATTATTATTGTTTATATTCTTATGATTTTTTTTTTAAATTTCAGGACGAGTTAGGCGTATACTGCGTTCCGTTACCAGATTTCCTAGCCTTAAATTTCCCTTCCCCAACCCGCGTTCAACAAAACAGTATTCTGATTCACCCCACAACAGACAACCACACGACCAAGCAAATTTCCATACAACGAATAGGCCGCGACGCGCGTCCCCTTCAGCCGAACGAAATAGCTCGATATCAACATCTATTTTCCCGCAATCAAGAAAACTCGAGAATCCGAAATTTAGCACAACGCATTCCGCGTCTAAGCTCTGTTCCGTCAACGTCGAATTCGGAATTCCGCGCGATTCCATGGCCCGAACGGAGAATCGATAGATTAGATTCGGATTACGTTTTGCGTATTGCGGATTCGAGACGGATTATGAACCCGCCTCAGATACACTCGGTTAATCCGGAAGCGGTTGTTAATAACCCCCGAGCGCCTACTGACAATGATCTCGAATATAATTAAATTTATGTAATAGATTAAATGGAAAAGCTCTGGAAAGCTTTCTAAGATTCATTAATTATAAGTTTTTTTAACATACTTACGTTAAAATGCCTCATGAAAAAACGATGTGCATTTTAATTTAATGCTAATTACGGATAACGGAATTATCTAATTCAGTTTTCGACTATAACAAGGAAAACTTTAATTTATAGTTCAAGCCAGTACTTATAATATTTGGCAAATATTTGCTCTTTTCGCAAGTTCTTGATACTACTAAAATTTATTTTCATATCCATTGGCATACCAATTTTGTATATTATATTATGAATAGCCAATTATTAAGTATTTTTTTGCTTAGAGGCATCCATTTTTATAAAATATGATTTTTTTATGTGTAGATAAAAATTAACTGTACATTTTCTTAAGTTCTTATTCTTAGTGTTTCAGCATGTGCAAGATTTTTGATAAGGTAATCAATAATACTATTAATTAATTTTATTGGTGTCGGTGTAAATATATTTTATTTTAATTCCCGGCTTATACCACGTATTCAATCGTTTTCCTATTTGATAGAATATGCTTCAAAATCAAAACATAGGTTCGTATTTAGCGATTAATTGACTCGTATACATACGTATACAAAATACAGTTAAGTATGGTGTTTAACCGCACTTGGATTTCTATACAGATAATTGATTTAGTAACTATTTTTATGACTTATTGTAGTATGTCAATAGCTATTTTTACTTATACAATGACAATGTGAAATACTTAAAATTATCGTCCATACATTAAATGTTTCTCGTTTTAATTCCGGGTACAATTGTACCGGCACAGTTAATACTATAATGTCAGCTTCTGACAGCTCAAGCTAAGGGATCTTTCTTACAATTTGTGTAATACGAATGCGAATACTATTCGATTATTTTTATATTTTCGTTAAGTTCAAAATATGCTTGCTAAAATTACGTCGATTTATAATTTCTAAGCGAAAAGCATTCGAATCGAGTAATCAAAGGTAACAAATTAAGAAATAAACGACAACAACAAGCCGCCATGTCGACGACTGTTATGGTAATTAAGGTGGTAAGAGCTTGTCCAGAAAGGTCGAATTCGCCGCGAATCGTTTCGCGCGAATTCATACGTCCCTAGTATCGACTCATCGATCGAAGCATCGCGCGAATTTAGAATACGCGCGTAAATCGCGTGCACTTCGCCAGACTCTCGACTCGCGCTTAATACGCGCGTATTGCGCGCGTGTCGAGATACTAGAGATGCCTTGTTGCGTCCAGCTAACGCGCGAACTCTAGAGCTTCTTTCGTACTGAATAGAACTCCTGAATAAAATTCCTCCCCAAATTCTCGCGCGTTGGTACGCACCTTGTAAACGCAACGGTCGCGCGTAATGCGCCCGTGAAAATCGCGGCCAATTCGCCCTTTCTGGACAAGCTCTAAGAGATACGTGAGCAAGCGTATAAGCCCGAGTTCTGAACGTCAAAAACCTTTTGGATTTAAGACATAAGGGAGTCATAGGGTGAGATTCAGAAACGAAACTTAACACGCTAAGTAATGTATCCTGTAAAAATGTATGGGATTCACAAATGAGAGTAATAGTTTGCTCTAAGTCTCGTTTCTGGGTCTCATTAGAGCTTAGTATGACTTTTGTATGTCAAAATCTTAATCTGCCTATCCATTAGTATATAATCTAATAAAGAAATTTCAACCCTTGTAACAATTCTTAAAAGGCAATGCAAATACAAGCTCTGGCGTTGAGACTGTTCATGGGTGACAATATCACTTAGGTGATATCCCTAAAAGTGAAGGCCCTGTTCTGTAAAAAAAAAAGAAAAGTGATGCAGAGCTGCCTAATACGTAGACATTTGTGTTATGATACTTACCGGCTCTTTTAAAAATTATTTTTCCATTTTTATTAAGGTTTTGTATTTTGTTATTTAGTACTACATAGAGATATTGTAGATCAATTTTGTTATATGTTCGAGAATGACGGTATGTAAGTAAATAAATAAAATATATTTTATATTTTGTCGTTTTACATTACTCCTTATAATTACTCTGAAACGTACGGTACGTACTGATGGACCTCCGTGTGAATTTTATTACTTCGAAATGGAAATCCTGTGTTGGGATGCTGATTTTATTCTTTGTAAGTATCTATAAATATAACGAAAAGGGAAAAAGTCTCAGCGATCTTTTACAATGTCGGTGATATCTTGTCAATGTTAATTATTCTATGAAACAATTCGCCTTTGCATTTCCACCAAATAGAAACAATATAGGCTAAGTACCTGAGAAATTTAAATTTAATTTTGAAATTTAGGGTTAACAGTCACTAGGGCCAAAATCGCAGCATGACTACAGAAAAATCAAGGAGAATGTATGCGTGCGTTTAATTGTGATTGGACGTGCGTTTGATTGGATGACCCGTCTCAGAGACGCGCCACCGTTTCGTCTACCGTATAACAATCGCACTCCAGGCAATTAATAGGTATTAGATACCTCAGATCTGTCACGGCTAGGTACGTTTTATCTCCTGTAATTTCTACAATTTATTGTGATCACTTCATTAGACGACAATTAACAATATTATAAACAACGTTCTAAAACCTATTCATAGATCGTCTTCTTTTTGTTCCATATCATCCATTCTACATTGTAAAATATCTACGAAGGAAACCATTTTTCAGTGTCTGGAAACCTAACGTCCACGTCAAAGCTAACCCCGCTTAAATGAAAACTAATTTTAATATTAATATTTTGAGAAACTGCGGATATAAATCATCTTGTTTGCTTGCGGAAACTTGTTTGCACTTTTATTAAATCTTGTTTAACAGTTCCCAACAATAACACGTCTGGCGCTAAAATATTTTCTAAATGTTAAAATTATTTCTTTAAAATTTAAGCGGTTTGTACTTAATTAAACAAGGAAGTATGTACATGCATGATGTCTCCAGTGAAACGAGGCGTTAGTTCAAAAACACAACATCTTCTGAACTCTCTGAAATATCTATCCATCATATGGTTACGATCAAGTACCGTAAAATTAGTAAGTTTGACGTAAAATTATACCCACATCCTAACATTTCTTAATGGAATTTAAGTTAAATTGTGTGTAAGAAGATTTCTTTTAAAGATAAACTTCCCTAAACAGCCTTGTGCGGGCAATACTGACCGAATAACACTTAAATAAAACTAGTAAAATTCCTTTTTAGATTGGCTCTTTAGAATTATCGTCACTCTTATTATTCTCCAATTTACTATTACTTACAGGCAATTAAACACACATTTAAATTCAGGTATAAACGCCAGCACTAAAACAATCATAAAAATCCTATTCAAGTCTCGTGGTCGTAAAATTTAAAATTTTTCAAACGATCGGATGGATTCTATTCATGTGAATTTTATTGGTCCCGTTACGGTGATCGTATGAGCGATTTTCCTTGTTTATTCTTTATAGCTGTTTTATTTGAGAACGGACTGAATAATTGGGTATTTGCTGAAAATAACGTTCGTAACGGAGGACTAATCGTAAAAATGTCGATCGACACACTAGGATGAACAATTGAGAAGTGGTTAATAATTCTGAGCGGTAAAGACCTCCTCTGACTTCTGTCACGTGCTATCCGTGCTGTGAGTTCTATCTTGTCATACAATGTCGTTAGTTCTCAAATTATATGACGTTGAATCTCTAGTGTGATAATAACGATGTTTTTTTTATGTAATAAGAGTCAAACAGGCAGAAGGCTCTCCTGAAGTTAAGTGATACAGCCGCCAATAGACACTCTCATTGCCAGAAGGCTCGCAAGTGCGTTGCCGATCTTTCAAGAATTGATACGCTCTTTTCTTTAAGGACCCTTAGTCGAATTGGTCGGAAATACTTCACTGGGCAGCTGGTTCCACATAGCGGTGGTGCGCGGCAAAAACTGCCTTAGAAAACGCTCAGTTGTGGAACGACGGACGTCGTGCTACGGATGATATTTTGTATTCTGCCATACGAAATTATTCATATAGGTATTTAGGATTTTGAATGTTAGAATATGGTCTTCTGTGACTGGCATACCTGGGGTTATTTGTGATATATTATTGTATATTAAATAATAATAGTTATGAGCGTAGAATCACTTTATAATGAACGCATTTTGAAGAATTTTAATCTTAAGGTGCACCAATAGACTTTATAAGTGCGCATTCAACACTCGCTCGTACAGTGAAGGGAAACATCGTGCGTGTGTCAGGTACATAAGACTGATCACCTTCTTGCCTATTAGAAATATTAATGATTACGAAACAATTCGTGATTAGTCTTCAAAATACTATAAATAGGGTAAGATTCAAGGTATCAAATCCATTACGTTTTTGACAAAATTAAGTCAGTATCTAATACTTAGCGCTGAATCGCGACTTTGAATCTTGCCTTCTAATCTAATCATACTAATATATTTTTCAACTTATTATGTACTGTTCACTTTTTATCTACACAACATGTTTGATTTAATATTAGCGATTTGTGTAAGCAAAGTCACATTAGTAGTTGCAATACTCACAATGCCAAATATAGATTATAATATATTTACTGGAAATTGCCACTCGGCCTGGCCTTGATGTATCCTACTTTCTACCTTCACTCCTTAGAGTAGTATCTGATATTTAAAAACATCAAAGCGTTAATAACTGTTGTCTTAGATTATTTTACAAAGTTAGAATTGACTAGGTTATCTCACTTATCACTAATATGTCGGTTATTAATAGTAATTAATTACCTAAAGAACATAGTCAAAAACATCACAAAAAACTGACGGACGAATTCGATATGTTATCTACTCAACAACAAACACTATAATTATTCAATGAAACCAATGTAAATAAAATAACTAAAAAGCCTAGTAATTAAAGAACTATGCATCCTGCCACTAATCTTCAAAATTTTATGCCTAATTAGCGAATGACCGATTTAAAGAAGCGTGGGCCAGTGTAATACCTGTCTTTGGCTTGATATTTTGCTAA